TGGTTGGGAGGAGAATAAACCACCATTTATAAATGACAATATCTACTAGTGTAGATCTAGGCTGTTACTGATAATAGTTAGGGAATAAGGACAAAAACATGCCTAAATAATAATAATAATAATAATAAATAAAAATAAAAAAGGGAGGGGTGTGGGACATTATGAGATTATTTATATAAAGTCAATAGACTTTTTTGATGATTGGTATTGGCGTGAAGACAAAGCGTGTAAGCCTTATTGGGCCTCCCTCCATTTTTTATCCCCATTTCACTCTGTCCATTCCGGTGAAGACGCGTTTTCAAAATAATAATAATAATAATAATAATTATAAAAGCAAAAATAATTATTTCAAGTGCTTCATTATTTTATTTTTTTTGGAGTTACACTTTTACCATTGATTTTTTACTACTCCTTGCTGTTATTTATGTTCATTATTGAATGAAATAAAAAGTAAATTAAAAATCAAAAGAAAAAGAAAAAAAAAAAAATCTGAGATTTATGGGTCTTCGGAATGGAACCCACCGTCGGTATGGGAAGAGACAAAGAAGTAGTAAGCTTAATGGGCCACAAATGGCCCATCCATTACCAAACTTGTCACCTCATGCTATTGGGAGGGAACTTAATATCACACTTTTCTCCTCCTAATTTTGTCTTTGATTTAAAATATTATTATTTAGAGAAATTAAAATTTCATAATTTTTCCTCAATAAAACTATAAAATGGAAAGATAATAATTAAAAGGCGTTTAAAAAAAATTACTAAATTCGATCCATCAACCCCACCCAACTCAACTAGTATATGATTTTATGGACGGATTTATTATTAATTTAAAATATACATTATTTTTTTTTTTTTATTTTATTTTATTAATTTTTTTATTATGATTGATTCCCTAAAAACCTTTAAAAATAATTTTTTAAAATTGTTTTTGAAGATAATGATTTAAAATATATATTAAAATTGAGTCTAAAAGTTTTATTTATTTTTGTTCTCATGCCCAATTCCTATGTGGGGGACACAATCATTTTTCAGTCACCGATCATCTTTCTTGGACAGTTTTATCATAGGTGAAGATACTTTAAGTTAAAATGATTAAGATTCCGACTACTTTTTAAAATGAAAGAATCATTATAGATCAAATCCTTAATTAAGGTTGAGATGTTCGGGCAAACTATTGTTTTAATTTTACACTTTAATATGACTATTCCTAGGACTCCAACGGAAAAGGACGTAATTATGTTTCTAATACATTCATTTGACTAATAACAAAAAAAAAATATTAAATTTGATCAATTGAGATTTGTAATGTGTTGAGAGTGTTGAGGATCCTTGGGAGTGAGTCACACCGTGGTTAATTTAAGGGAAGATCATGGGAGCGTATGCTCATTGACAATATCATACTATTGTGTGGAGAGTCGTGATTCTTAAGAGGGAGTAATACTGGGTGCTGTGAATTGGCTGCAGAACCGATGTGTGAACATGATAGCTCACTTGTTCAATGCCCCATTGGGGGAATCCGAGACGGCGGTGGGAGTCGGAACCGTGGGATCGTCGGAGGCCATAATGTTGGCTGGTTTGGCTTTCAAGAGAAAGTGGCAGAACAAAATGAAGGCTGCAGGCAAGCCCTATGACAACCCCAACATCGTCACTGGAGCCAATGTCCAGGTATTTATGTAGTTGATTCCCATTTGGGTTACTATTTTGTTCTTAAATTTCGGCACTGATTTGCTCATATCGTGTTCGTCGTTCTAAACGTGAAGGTATGCTGGGAGAAATTCGCAAGGTACTTTGAGGTAGAACTGAAGGAAGTGAAATTGAGCGAAGGTTACTACGTGATGGATCCACAGAAAGCTGTGGAGTTGGTTGATGAGAACACCATCTGTGTTGCAGCCATTTTGGGTTCCACTCTCAATGGAGAATTCGAAGATGTAAAGCTCTTAAATGATCTCTTAATCGAGAAGAACAAGGAAACTGGGTACGATTTCTTCTCGTTTTCACTCTTTAATTGAATATAATGAAATCAAACCTGAAATCAAGCATATGATTGCCACAGATGGGATACCCCTATTCATGTTGATGCTGCGAGTGGAGGGTTTATTGCCCCATTCATTTACCCTGATCTAGAATGGGATTTTAGGCTGCCCCTTGTTAAGAGTATTAATGTGAGTGGCCATAAGTATGGGCTTGTTTATGCTGGAATTGGTTGGGCTATCTGGAGGAACAAGGAAGACTTGCCTGAAGAACTCATCTTCCATATCAACTATCTTGGAGCTGACCAACCCACTTTCACCCTTAATTTCTCCAAAGGTATATACTGTGTGTTCTTGCAGATCCTGAATGGAGTCTGATTTTGTACTTTGATGCTGAATTTGAGTTTTGTTAACTGTAGGATCTAGCCAAGTTATTGCTCAGTATTACCAAATGATCCGGTTGGGTTATGAGGTGAGATTCTCGATGAATTATTTCACGAATCTTGTTTTATCTGTTTCAGTCTTGAATTCTCGTTCGTTATATCTTTATGTTTTAGCTTCTAATAGTTATGGTTAGGAATCACGACTTTCTACAATGATATGATATTGTCCACTTTGAGCGTAAGCTCTCATGACTCTAGTCTTGGTTTTTTCGAGAGGTTTCGTATCACCAATAGAGATGTATTTCTTACTTATAGACCCTGATCATTCCCTTAATTAGTCTATGTGAGACTTCTTCCCTTTTCCCAAAAGACCTCGTATGAATGAAGTATTGTTAACCCATGATGAATATGGGACTTCCTCCCAATAATCCTCCCCTCAAACAAAGTACACCATAGAGCCTCCCCTGAGGTCTATGTAACCCTCGAACTGCCTCCTTTTAATCGAGGCTCGACTCTTTTCTCTAGAGCTCTCGAACAAAGTACATCTTTTGTTCCAGCCATGCCCTAAACTTAGTCGTGTCAATAGATTGGTAAATCCTCAAATGTCGAACAAGGGATTCCAAACGAAAAAAGGAGTCAAGCTTCCTCGAAGGCATGAAAGCAGTCAAAAAATGATAGACTCCAAAGGAGTCGAGCCTCGATTAAGGGGAGGCATGCTTTGTTTGAGGGGAGGTGTTGGATTATGAAAGTCCCACATCAGCTAATTTAGGGAATGATCATGGGTTTATAAACAAAGAATACTCTCTTCATTAGTATGAGGCCTTTTGGGGAAGCCCAAAGCAAAGCCATGAGAGCTTATGCTCAAAGTGGACAATATCATACCATTGTGGGGAGTCGTGTTCGTCTAACATGAGTTACTTTTGACTACATCTTCGAGACTAACAACTTCTTTGTTCAACACTTGAGGATTCTATTGACATAGCTAGATTAAGGGCATGACTCTAATACCATATTAGGAACCACAACTCTCCACAATGATATGATATTGTCCACTTTGAGCATAAACTCTCGTGTCTTTGCTTTTGGTTTTTCCCTAAAGGCCTCGTACCAATGGAGATGTATTCCTTATAAACCCATGATCATCCCCCTCAACGCACGCCCCTTTAGGCATCTATTGATGAGATAAATGGGCAAGAGATAAGCTTAGTCATACACTCATACACCCAAATCCCTCAATCTAACAAAGTAGGTACCATTTTTGTTCATCAGGGATACCAAAACGTGATGGAAAATTGCAGAGAGAACATGTTGGTTCTAAAGGAAGGACTCGAAAAAACGGGTCGTTTCAACATCGTGTCGAAGGACAATGGAGTCCCACTTGTGGCCTTCTCCTTGAAAGATAGCAGTCGTCATACAGAGTTTGAGGTCTCAGAAATGCTTAGGAGATTCGGTTGGATTGTGCCTGCCTACACCATGCCTCCAGATGCACAACACATAACAGTCCTAAGAGTTGTGATCCGAGAAGACTTTTCTCGCACACTTGCGGAGCGTCTAGTGGCAGATATTGAGAAAACGATGCACGAGCTCGACATCCTCCCGTCGAAGGCCGATATCAAGAACACGGTGGCGAAGAAGAGCGAACTCGAGACACAGAGGGAGATCACAACTGTTTGGAGGAAGTTTGTGATGAACAAGAAGAAGACTAATGGAGTTTGTTAAGAGTTGAAAGCAAGGGATTATTATGTCTATGTGTGAAGTGAGAGCAGATGAGCTTTGTATTTGTGGAATGCAAATGTTTGTTTAGTGTTCTTGTTGTTAAAGATGTTGTTTCTATTCAGCCTACCTCCACTTTTCAATTCTAGTGCAAACTTATCATCCCATTCCTTAAATCTATGTTGGTTGATTACTCTTACATAGAATATGTTTTCCCACCCGTCGTCGTACTCGACTAGAGTCGGTAATTGGCTTAATGCTTGTCAAAGAATAGGTGATTCAAGACCTGTACCAACCTTAGTGATATAGATCGAGATATCACTAAGTCAGAAAGGTGATGAAGGAGGATTGTTACTTGTTCACTAAGAAATGTCAAATTTGTAGAAGAATTTGACGAAATGTTTCCCTAGAAAAGGGATCTCACGTCGATTGAAGAGGGGAATGAGTGTCAGCGAGGACGTTAGATACCGAAAGTGGGTGGATTGTGAGATCCCACGTCGGTTGAATAGGAAAACGAAATATTCTTTTATAAGAGTGTACAAAAACCTCTCTCTAATAGAGAGTACTGAAAACCATATCAATCGATCTTCCATTTTGCAAATAAGACATATTCTCTAGGCAAAAAATTTTAAACAATACCTTTATTTCCATGTCTTCCCACTACCTTATCGCTTACTTTGATTTCACGTTTCTATGAAATATATACAAACTCAATCCCTACCGTCTATAGGTAGTTTTAGCTAGGTCTTTTTTTTTTTTTTTTGAAGTGGATACCTCAATACCAAGTGTAGCTCGTAATAATCTATCTTTGGAGGCATACAATGACTCTTTCGCCATCTGAGGCGTTTATTTACCTACTAAAATATCGCCCATTTCCATGCATTTTAAAAACCTTGAATGGAAGCCCGAAAGAAAAAACTCAAAGAAGACGATATCTACTGACGATAAACTTGAACTGTTACAGGTAAACAAAGAAGTATTTTGAAAGAAACATTGAACCATATTATTAGAAATAACAAAAACGTGTCTAAATATACAATAGGCAAAATAGATGTAAGAATCAAGGCTTGGAGTTTGGCAATGGCAATGGCCTCCCCTTCACCACAGTAACAGGACATGAAGCATTCTTCACAACGTAGCTGCTCACACTCCCAATCAATACCCTGCGTTTAACCAAACATTTTGGTAACCCATTTCTCTTATTCAATTTCAAAGGGGATTGATCGATAGAGTTTAATTACCTCTTGATAGAGCCTAAACCCCTGCTTCCAAGAACAAGCGAATCAAGCTTAAGATCCTCCACAGCCTCACACAATTTCTCCCTTGGATCGCCCCAATAAACCTTAGCCACAACTCTGACCTGCTTCGTTTTCAAACAAACCCATCATTAACAACTAATAATCCCTTCATTCATCAAACAAAATCACTGAAACAAAAACAGAGAGAAACAGAGAGAAACAGATTGAAACAGAGTGAAACAGAGACCCCTTTGGATGTAGCTAATGAGTCAAGAACATCAAGAACTTCTGCATCATTTCTCAGTCCATACTGCTTCTCCAACTTAATCTCTCTGAATTCCTCAAGAGGAATCAAAGCTGCAGAGAAGAAACAAAGGGTTTGTTAGAACAAGCGCATAGAAATTAAAGAGATTTTGAGAGGGGTAGGAAAAGAAAAGGGTACGTGAGCCAGTGTCTTGAAAGAGGAGCTTTCTGGGAGTATCAGAATTGGGAGGCTCAACATGGATCAAAATCAATTGATCTCCATGGGTAAGAAGGTTATGAGCAGCCCATTTTAAAGCTGATTTGCTTGTTGCAGAGTAATCCATGGCTACTCCAACTCGCCGATTGTGATCCTTCTCCATGTTTTCCGACATGTTTCGCTGCCAATATGATATGATTTCTCTGTCTCTCGCTGTTTAAGCGTTCTGTTTGAGGGAGGAGCTTTGGATTTTATAGCAATGGAAGAAGGTTCTTGAAGCTGCTAGTTAGTTTCTCTTTCGCAAGTGTTCCATACCGAAGAGGAATGTTTGTTCTTTTCTTCTCCTTTCGTATCTTTTTCCTACCTTAAATTATTGGTTTTGTTCTAAAGTTGTTGGAATCTCTTTTATCCGTAAATTTTTATTTTTAAATAGCATACAACATAGTATTCTTATCATCATCAATATATGAACGAAAACTATCCTTAAAGAAATATGGATATCTTAGAAGGAAAAGAAGTTCCAACATAAAACAAGCAGAGAAATCAAATCAAAGTCAATTAAATTCTAATACACAGCCACCATAGTTGCATGCCTAAGTCTGAGCATTCAACTGATGAGAAGTAGATTGGGAGAGAGATGATGAAAATACTGTAAAACTCAAAGTGACAGATACATCATTTTTCATTTGTTCTTCCCTTTTCCAATAGAGAAAACTAAATTGTGTTTGTTTTCTAAATAAAAAGATAAAGATGGGTGAGTTGAGTATTGAATACAGTGGAGTTCTTTCTTCTATCTCCAGGAACCACCCAATCTGATCACCTCTTCACCGCTACTATCCCTTCTGTTAATTCTTTCTTTGCTTGAATCCCCTCCTCCTCCTCCTCCTTTCTGCTCGCTCACATCACCATACATATCTTTTAGTTTTGCCAGATTGCTCGATATGATCGACGTCTTCTCTGAGGTTCTGCCCCTTGCAGGACTTGGCTCTCGTTCGTGATGGCCATGGGCATTCACTCCTGTTTGTAGACTTCGACTTCTGCTCCTGCTTCTACTTCGGCTACGACTCCTTCGGTAATGCCTTGTACCACCATCACGGCTACTTCTTTCGAAGTCCCTTCTACCATCTCTATCAGTGTAATGAGTCCTTCGATCATAATCATAACTTCGTTCTCTGTCTCGCTCCCTATCCCTGGCTTTCTCTCTTTCTCTATCTCTTTCTCGGTCCCTCTCCCGATCTCTATACTTTTCTCTGTCCCGATCATGTTCTTGCTCTCGGTCTCTATCCCTTCCCCTGTCCCTGTCCCTGTCCCTGTCATATTCTCTGTCCCTGCTCCTTTCCCTGTCATAATCTCTATCCCTGCTTCTCTCCCTGTCATAATCTCTATCCCTGCTCCTCTCCCTAGTATCTGGATGTTCACGACTTTGGCTACGGCGACTGCTTGGAGATCTTCGTAGATCATCGTTGTTATCTCTGTCGATAGCTGATGTTGGTAGCGTACGACGAACTGGAGATGAGTCCCTAGTTGAGGCACGATGTGGGGCTCGTTGTCCAAAGGAGACTGAAAGTGAAGCTTTTACAGAAGGTGGTCGCCGTGCAGTGTCTTCAGACCCCAATCGATGGGTTTCCCCTGTCACGCCTGAATGTTTGCTTGGAAGCTTCAACTTTTCGAGATTAGCTACAACTTGTCGCAAGACAGGAACTGGAATACGAGGGAAAAGAGTATCGAAGTAGTACTGCAATTGGCAAACAAAATGTGAGCACTTTTAGCTACAAAGACGAGGGATTTAAAAATAACAATACATCTAAATTGAAGTATTTTTAAGAAGCTACGAAAGATACGAGGTTAATATGTTCCAGTTAGAACATGTGAAAATAATGATCATTCGGCCGTGTAGGCAACACAACAGAATCACATAAACACCGCCAGATAACATAGAAACACAATTTTTGCCACAACGAATCACAATTTCTTCCATTTAAAAGCTGAAAGGACATACAAAATAAAAGCTTAAAGATCATCAACTCAATTATCCAATTTAGTGAAGTCACTAATCACACTTTTAGATAACAACAATGTGATAAAACCAACACCTTGGTTTCATATTTTATTTTATTCATCTTATACACTTCATTCATCTATTTCCATCATATACTACAAAAATAAAAAAAATTGAATCCAAACAATGATTGATCTAAATATGTCAAGACCATTCCTAAAAAAATTCATTCATGATCTGAAATTCGAAATATTTCGAGGAAAATTAATAGTTAGAAACTTAAGCCAAAACCTTTCTTTCCACATCACGATTAAGAAGGTTCATGAAGGGGCAAATCTCTGAAAGGTATCGCTTTAGACATGTAAAAGCTAACACATTTCGTGAAGGACTTCCTCTAATCTACCTACAAGGTGCATAAGTGGGAAATAAAACTAAAAGAAAAGGTTATATAAGGAGAGTCAAGAAAATATTGGATGCATTAGAAAAGACAAAAGACAAAAGACAAAAAAAAAAAAAAAAAAATCTTTGAACTCTAGTATACTGTATATATAAATCTTAACAATGTCTTCCAACCATGAATCGACAATGCAGTGCTCCCATTAGTTAAACACTAGAGAAATGCCAACAGCAACTCCATATACACACAAATTTATCATGTATGTGACACAAAGAAAAAAGAAAGACATAACCAAGAATCATGATATCTAAAGGGGAAATGTTGGTATATAACCTGACCTGTCCAAGGAGCAAATCACGCACATAAACACCCATTGTAGTCATTCGTCCATGGGATCCTGGTGAAAATTCCTGTAACACATCAAGTCTGTTAGTTCCAATTCTGCTTTTTGTAGCTTTAGGTTACTATTTAAATCCATTAAAAATGAAAACATGCAAACAAAACATTATGGATTTGTAAGGAAGAAAATTGTTTTCCTGTTATTTGAGGAAGGGGAAAAGGAGAGTACAAACAGCAAATGGACCGACCAAAAACCCTCCAAAAGTATAAAAAAACATGCCACAGAAAGCTGCATGTATCTGGAAATGGGAAGTTCAAGAGCACCTCCTCAATCATAAAGTTGCAGTCTTTGCTACGAGCCAAAGCGATCCCAAACGACCATAAACACCAACTCCAAAGGGAATAAGCAAAATAGGAAGTTCACAAAAAATGTTGAGGATCTTCCTCTTACCACCTATGGAGAACGCACCATTGCTGGCAAAACACAAAGGAAAGATGTCTCTAAATATAGACTTAGATGTTCACTCTCCCATGCAAAATGTACCAAGAAAAGAACTTCAACCTTTATAGATATCATAACCATCCAGCCCATTCAAAACTTGCTAAGCAAAGGACTTCAGAAGGGACCAAGAAATATGGAAAAGCAATTAACAAGAGAAACTCCGATAGAGGTTAAAGACCACAACCAGAAACTCCCTTCTCCCAGGACGGACTAGCTAATTAGGAATGAGAGAAAGAAGGGTAACCACATCCAACATCACTCAACCACTTAGGGGACACCGAAATCCAAAGTAACAAGGTGGAAATACTAGGGGAAGGCAGTAAGGAGGCCACCTAATGCAACCTTATCTGACAGATGATGAAGCAGTGAAACCAATGTTTTAAAGGTGGCATAGGAGCTTTCCAGGCTAAAAGTTAAGCTTCCCTTAAGGCGAGCTTCAATGCAAGCTAGGTTTTCGGTCATTCCCAATTAAGAATTTTATAAACGGGGAGACCAAATGAAAACTCAAAGCATTAGCAGTTCACAAAATTTTTCGTAAACTAATTCCCACGTTCAGACCGGCTCAAAGAATACAAACTATTCTTGATCACTATAGATGTATACCATAAAAGTATGTGGTTCATTAAAAACACCACAATCATTTCAAGAACAAAGCCTCATCACTAATTCTATTGCCTAAACCTCCCAGCACCACTACCTTTGAAGCTTCCTCCCACCTAACCAAGTGGGGTCCACCATCCTCATTAATTCCTTCTCATAATAAATTCCTCAATAATCTATCCATGTTTTCACACCAAAATAGAAATTCCAAACACTAGGGGGGGAAAAAAATAAAAAAGAAGTATTTGGGAACCCATACAATACCAACTAGATAAGGGTAAGGCTTCCTCCCTGAGAAAAGAATGCCTTTTTCCAAGAAAATAGTCTTTTCTAGACTTTTTCCACCACAAGGTTCCAGAAAGACAACCTCCTTGGGTTACCACCTAAGGGAAGCCCTAGATAAGAACAGGATAATTGGCTAACATCACAACTCACTTAGGAAGCCCAAGAGGTCGACTTAGAGAAATCACAATTTTAACCAACGATGGAACTCTCTCCTATTTGCCTTTAGTCACTTAGATTGGTAAAGGAGCTTCCTTTCTTGAACAAAACAACCGAGGGTGTATCATAGGTGATGTAAAGATGCAAACGAAGGAAACTCTTTGATGCCACCTTAAAACCCTCGACCACTTTCTTTTCCAAACAGAGACAATAACTACCCAAAATATCAACAAGAAGAATGAGCAGAGAAGGCGAGAGGGGTCACTTTACTTGAGACCTCTAGAGGCAAAAATCTTACAAAAAATTTTTATCGAAGAACTTTTTTAAAAATAAAAAATAAAAATCCCAATCAACATGATCAAAGGCTTTCTCAAAATCAATCTTGAAAATCACACCATTCTTTCACTTCCTATAGTATTCATGGCTTCATGAACAATCAACATTCGACCTAAGATTTGCCAGCCTGCAATAAATGCTCCTTAGGCATTGGAAATAGTAATAGGAAGCACTTCCCTAAACCAATCTGCCAAAGTTTTAGCAGTGATGTTTTATAGACATGTCACAAGTAATTGCTATGAAAGCTTTAATACTAGTTTTGACTTTCATTGGATCATAACCTATAGTGCGAGTAGTCATTGGAAGTCATTTGCATATCCCTAAAAGAAGCTTTTGTGATCTCATCTACTCCAGCTTCAAGAAAAAAAAAATACATTTTTCTCTTCCATGTCATAATAATCTCAAACATAATGAAAAATGAAATAAAAAGCAGTATTGGGTACCACACCTTATCTTTCTTTTTTACTTCAAAAAAGTGATCCCCTTGGATAACTAATAAGGTATAGGACTCTCGTTATCTGTTTTCACTTCCACTTGTGAAGGAACAAGAGCCGGAATTCAACTAGGGTGAGTGTTGTTTTCTATGGAAGTGAAGTGATGGCTTTGAACCGATATCAAATGGCCTTGCCCCTCTTTTTAACAAAAAAAAAAAAACAAAACTTTTCATTGGATAAATGAAGGGAGATTAATGCTCC